TGTTCGTGGGTCGAGCTGTTCGTGACTAGAGGCGTTCGTGCCTCGAAGTACCACTATATGCATATATAGTTATGTCAGCATAGCGTCAAACAACAACAAACACCGAAAAACAATGACGGAAAACATGAATCTTCACCGCTTTGCACACTGTGAACTGAGGCACTATATTTCTGTCCGTTTTGCTTGCAGAAAGTCGTGGACGACCTCAGCGAGAGTAGCCAGGGACGCAGCTCCGTATGACTTACGATATCGTTCACACCGCTACTAATTTCCCGATGTCTACCTAGAGTAGTGTATTGACAATTCTCTCAAAAAGAAGACCTATTAAGCTGACGTTAGAAATTCACATTAATTTATTCGTTTATAGGTAGACCACCAAGATTGCAAAATTTCAATACGTGCATAACCTGTATAATGCTGAAGGGATAAAAACAGCAACAGTGAATCAGTGAAACGAACAATTCATCAACGATGCGAGGAAAGATGCAAATATTCATATTTGTAAAATACAGGTGTAGAAACAGTATTTCAGGGGAGAACGGAAGTGGCACAAATTGGTTAATGGACGATACCACGGTCCTCTAGTCGCCTATCGTAACCATCAGAGGCAAGTAACACGGTTCGTTGGTTTTTAAGCGCCTGCAGTGCATCGGATGTAACAGTTTTGAGTTCTGATTGAAAAATGTAACATACATCGATGGAACAGAATGCTATCATTCGCAGTGCCTACCCCCATACCTCGGTTTCCTTATATTTCCTTATTTTATTATAATACATCATGTGTGGAACGTTTTGAAATATACGTGATGCTTCTTTAGGGAGTGAAGCATAAGTGAACGTTACAACTCCTCAAAACAGACGAAGTATGACTAGAAATATCTGAGTGACAATGTATCATAATGAATAGAATTACTATGCGGTGTCATCCGGAAAACGATTTATGCCATGCTGAATTTCCGATCTTACCTGATATTTAGCTTTTATGACTAAACCTACAGAAAGAGGTGATTTTTTGACGATTTTAACTGAAATGGTATACCATACTGTAAAAGTCTCGATAGGAAATGGAAAATCGAAATTATTCCTAGAAGAAAACAGTTTCAAAAGTTGAACTTTCAATTGCTTTCAATCTTTATCGCTAAAATTAGTTGAACTTCTGTTCTTGATTTTGTTAGTACGGAGCACAGCCAAAGCAGAGCTAACTGAACACAGCGGGCGCATCAGATAGCACAGTAGTATATCTCCTAGGCTTTAGTATTTTCATACCAGTACCTCAGTTTGACCTTATTGTTCGCTGTCTACTTGCTATTCGACATCTCTATTGGCTGGTCGCAAAAAAGCAACTGAAGAGGTGAATTCTTCGCTTAAGTGAATTAGCAGTTAATTCAAAAAATATAATGTTCCAATCAGCTACTGCGGAATAAAGCTGACTGACTTTTGTCCGAGTCAAGCCCCCCGCCCCTTCCCAACTGACCGGCATACTGATAATCTGAAATATCCCCCCTTTCTCTGCACTGCTCCATGCACGCCGCGAAAAACAAATGAGTTGTCCTTATTACTACGTCAGCGACAACCCCAAAGACAAGGACACCACAGTCCGAACGATATTGATCTACCTCTAACGGATACCTTCCCTCGTGCGACGGTTACAGGGAACGTTCCTCGCAATGATTTCTAATAGACTAATTGCACATTATGACTCCGCCGTGGGCTGAGGCGATATGACATCTATGAGTGACGTTTCAGCCGGAACATTAGGAAATGTAACCGACGAAACTTGTCGTTCAGCGTTCAACTACTGCTGACATCATTGTGGTCCCCGCTAGAGAGCGAACGATGGGACACGAACGACTAGGGCTTTTTCCTTAAACTTACGGGTTATGAAGTGAACGGGTGAAAGCCGTCACGTAATTCGGTGCCACCCTAAAGGTACTCGACACTTAGCTTCGGACGTCGCATTTAAAATACAGTACAGCTGGCTCATGGCCTGGAAAGAGAGATAATCGCAATAGGGGCCACGCGTTGTACTGATTATCCCACTGAACAGTACGCATCGGATGGGTTAAGCTCTAAGAGGCGGTCGCATCTGCGAGTACTGCCATACCTCTCGTCCATTGCCGAATGACGGACGACGCCGTAACACGACGCTGCTGTGCTGTTCGCGGAAGCCAACAAACAACTTAGGGATGAATTCGTTGGCCTAGGGAATTAAGTGTGAAGAGAATGTTCAGAATCTGGATCCGGATGTTCAGATCAACGCTGCATCACAAGATCCATGGAAGAAGCAGTGCGACAAATGGCTTCCGTTATTGAAATGTAAGTCAGACCGATTGTCCCATCCCCAAAGCGAAGCCACTCAGCAATCTTGGCAGCAGTGTCTAAAGTCGGACGTTGATCGCACAAGCAATGGCTGACAAGCTTCAAGTGTGCTGGCGGACGTCCAACTGATTGCTCTGACTGAATGATTGTTCTACTCAACCCGATTTCTCTCCGTTTTCCGAAAAATGAGTTGTACAATAAAGAGGCCATGCAACCCTTATACCGCGACTGCTCGGTCGTCAACTCGATCAAGGTACCACAGAAAACACTCACCGTCCGGCCAGAACCGTGCAACGACGTGGCGAGGTATACGTCGTCACTTTACGAGGGTGAAAACCGCCGAAAGAACCGGTCACTGAGTGATTAATGGCCGACAACCATGAGAACAAACCGCCAGCCGCTTGTTTGCTTACACATGGTGAAAAGCGGTAGGCAACGCGGCGACGGCCGATTTGCCCCGGCCGGCATGCGAACGTTGCAGTACAATGCTTCGGGCGCCAGATGCCGGGGCACATATGCCGTCGCCTCATGAGGCCAGCTGGTAGCCACCAGCGTCAGATTGCCCCCCGCTTGTCGCTAGAACGAGCAAACTGCGATGCTGGCTGACTGCTGGTCGACCGACCGACCGCCAGACCGGCTGGCTAGCTGGTCAACGTGGGCAGGCATTCGCTTGTACGGCCGCAACACCGTCACACCGTCACATGCGACGGATGACAAACGATCTTAATTATTAAGACTGCAGTGGTAAGCTAACCAACCATACGCTCGTTGCAACCGATATGGTTTTTGAACACGTTTCTGGTCAGTTGTTGTTTTCTTCACCAAAAACCTCCTAAGATTCTTTGAACCAACTTTTGTGAAGCACCCAACTGTGGTGTCGCAAATTGCTTTATCAAACTAAATTTTTGGCAATACACGAACGACTAGCTTGGCTCTCGCAAGAAGCACTGTATCGTTGAAGCCTTGAAAAGATTTTTCACATTTTCGCCGAGACGAGGTCAACATACCGGTCCGCTGGATGCTCAGACTATCAACCATCACACGTTTACACTGCCTTGGTACAGTGCCTCGCATGTGGGCATCGAACTGGCCGGATCGACCCTGGCGGAGAACAGTTTTTGTCTAAATCACGAATTTACTTCAGCCAAACTTTGCTGTAGACCGAGGTCACTAAGTCTGAAGAGCGTCCGCATCGGAACCGAAAGTCCTCCTTGTGAAGTTGAAAAATGACTACCATCCGGTGAGAAGGAAACAGGAGATTACGCACTATGCTTTCATAGCACTCACATAGCTGCAGTTGACTCAAACGAGGCTGATGACTTGGAAATGGAAATCAGCGCCCCACTATTAAGTTCATGGAAACAACAGCGCCAGAAATAGCCTCATCAGGAAAGTGTAAAGAACGATGTTTAAACGGTTACACGCTTTCTTTCCTTTCTACTAACGGTGTGACTAACAAGCAGTTCTGCGGCAGT